CTTCCTTTTTGGACTGTTACTTGCAGTGCCAGTTAATCATCTGAAGGTATCTATAGGGTAATATCGGCGTGCACTTTCTTAAGGACAGCCTGTGGTCTTGGGAATGCTTCTATAGGCTGCCCAATATTTTCTTTCCTCCTACCTAAAGCGGCATACTGATTTGAATGGTGAAGCATCAAGCATAAGGTTTTTTATTTTTGCTTTCTTTAAATCAAATCGCTGGATACAAGTGAACTAAAGCATTTTCGAAAAAGCTAGCTGGTTACAAGCTGCTGCTTCTTTGTGACGAGCAGATTTCGAGTTTTTTTGAGTTGGTTCTTTGTTGACAGTCGTCCTCTCCTTTACTGGGAACTCCACACCTCTAGGTTACTGATTACTCCATACGATCTGGCACTCGTCATTGTTCAGTCAAATAGGACGTCCTGTCAAATTTGGGTTTTATAGAGACCCTGGCAACTTACTCCGTTTACCTTTCGTTTTACCCTTTCCTTGACGGCTGGGCACGGAAGGATGGGCGCCGAGAAGCGGAAGTGTTGTGCTGATTCGGTGTGGGAATTTGAGAGCTCACTCATTTTGAATAATCTCAAAGAAAAAGCCACTGCTTCTTCTTCCCCTTCATTCTTGATTTCAGGTTGATAGCGAAGTTCAACGTATGTGTCCGTGAATACCGAATGCAATGTCTTCGACATGTGACCATCAGCATCATTGACTCGTCTTATGGATACCTCTGCAACGAGGGATACAACAGTAAGTCAGCAACCCTTCCATCATTCATGACTCCTCTTCCCGCTCCATAATCCGCTGATCCGACTTGTCTGGTAACAAAAAACACTGAGCAGTAGCTGGCACTTTGTTGCTTGTTCTATACTACCCGCTAAGCCTCTTTAGAAACCTCAGAATGAAGGTCGCGTCCTTTTAGCTCACTTTTTTGCCTGCGGCTGCCCACTGAAGTGGACGTTCCCTTTTGCTCACAACAAAATCCGGGACTGGTTCAGGCGCTTTGCTTTGCTTCTGGGCATTGAGACAGCTCTGAGCTAACGGACTGCGGTACCATCGAACGTGGGACTTCAGGCCATATACAAATAAACCCATGCCTACAAACAGTCCTCATTCTAAATATAGCACTTCAAGAATAAAAATGACAATCGAGGACCTGCTGAGGGCAAAGGTTTCCTTTTACACAGAGAATGCTTCAAATGGCTCTGGAAAGCTATTTCCGTAAATATTTTCGAAAACCTCTAAGTTTGCCATCAATTATTAATACATTTCGACAGACCGAATAAGCAAGGCTAGTCACACACCCATTGTTCTCATGAGTGAGTGTTGGCATGGGCCTATTGAACTACAGGGTGAGCAACTACCCAGTTTCATTATTCAATCTAAAGAATTAATGGCAGCTATAAAAGGTCCCTGAAGTGGAAAGTATAGTCGTGCTGATTCATCGGAATCCTTGAAGACGTTGAGCAGAAAAAAGGTGTGATGCTCCGAATGTGAAGTTTCAATGCACCTTGGGTTACCTGTATAATGTGCGGATTACTTTCATACGCCTTTGTTTTTTAAACACACTCCGCAGAAAGTAATGGGGCTCGGTCACTGTCCAACACATCGTGCTCCTGGAAATCTACCAAAATTTCGTGGGATCAAAATTCGTTCATCATTACTTATGCTGCGATTAGTTGATTTTGTCAGTAACCCTATTCTTCAGCTGTGGTGCTGTAAATGATGGCTTCAACGGCACAGTCCTAGATATTCTTCAGGTGCCTCATCAACTTAAATAAAGAAGTGTTGGTGCAGAATATGGCAGACGAGCGAAAATCCGCTGAATTCACGGAATATTGCGGTTCCTGACACTAGCAAAAATAGGAGTATGTACGAGTCTATGACGACAAAGCTGGTACGGGTGTGTGTGCTCCGTTGTGAATGGTGCATCCTCTGTGAAGCCATTAAAACACGATCACTTCCGGGTTCGATAAATATAAAGACAATCTTTGAGCCTTTATTATGCCCTATTTCAGGCACTTTTTCGACGTGACAAGGGTCCATTGTCTATCACTGCAAAACAGAGATCCATCCCTGTAGGAAATTAAAATGAAGAGGGTTACATCTGGACTTCTGATCGAGTTGTTATCTGTTGTTTACATAGCACCCAAGTAATGGGATATTTCCCTTCGAAAAATTTTGGTTAAAAATTAATCGTTTGTTCCAAGAAAAGCTATGGATTCAGAAGAAGAGCAGTCAAATTGCAGTAAGAGCTTCAACCGTGACGCTCAGTGTATTGTCTTTTTTCTGAGTAGTTCGAGGATTTCGAGGACAACCGGACTGGGTGTAAATGT